TGTTCGAAGTGATTTCTTACAACGAATATGCATTGTATGGACACTTCGTTTGGGATAATACTCCTAAATATCTAAGTAAAAATCTTATATGACACCATTTATCATATATAAAATTAATACGCGATTCTACATAATATACAGCTAATAGTGAAATTCAAAGTAAAGAACAGAGAGGGAGAAAATTTGGGAAAGGGAAAACATATTAATACAGTTGCATAAAATGGATAACGATGAGTAACCAAACTTTTAGTAATTTTTATTTAAAAGTTTAATTTGCAGAAGGTAATTAAGCTTTTCTCTGTCATACCCAATGTCGTATAACAATGGCGTACCGGTAATGACACAAGTATGCATACTTCTTTCCTTAAAATGGTGACATCCTTTACAAAGTTTTTGCAGCGTTATGATTGCACACGTTCACAGGAAAATTGACACTCATCATAGTTGAGCTTGATTAAAGGTTTACGATAGCCGTTTACTTAATAGGGTTACATTATATGAGAAGGATGAATGAAATATGTAATACCAGGCCCCACTTGTATAAAACATCTCAACTTGAGATTTCCTCAAGTCAAGATTTTCCTCAGCTGATATCTCCTCAAAAACGGCTTGTATAAGATTTTCTCAAGGAACAGGAGGAAGTCATCGGCTAGGATGTCCTTAAAATTCCTTGAGGAATTTTCATACAAGATATTTTCAAGGAGATATCAGCTGAGGAAAATCTCGACTAGAGGAAATCTGAAGTTGAGATGTTTTATACAAGTGGGGCCAGATGACTCATTGCATATGTTTTATACCTTCACCAATTCGCCACTGTATTAAATTTCTGTTAAATAGCGGATCAATCATTCAATCAAAGCCTGGCGACACAATGCAAAATAACTTTATCAGAACGCTCCAAACTATTTTGTGCTGGTAATCGAAATGTCAAATACATCAGTTTTTAGTCAGATACAAGTGGTGCTCTCTGAACGAATATTAATTTCGTAGAAAACTTAATGACTCTCCCCACTATGGCTTTCCGTAGATGATTTCCATTTGTTAGGAACTTGTAACAGACATTGTCTAGCAGAACTCAGTTCTTATCGGAAACGTTCACAAAATGCAATGTACGAACATACACGATTTTTGTTTTTTGCTGAAAGCTTTTATGGAGAAATATTTTATTTCCTTGTGTGATATAAATTAAGATGAGTCCTATGTTGGCTGATATGCTTTTATTGTTATAGACATGCTTCATATTTGAGAAGGTGACATTAATATGACTTTCGTGTTCTTTCAATGTTCACTTTCCCAAATACGAACATATGAATGGTCCGTGCAGAGGACGGGGAACGAATATTTATGGAACGTTACAGCTCTATTGAATAGAGTGTACATACAGCAACGTTGGACGCACATAATATAATGCTATTTTAAACACACAATTTAAATGTATCTTATATATACAATAATGATAAACCCACATAAAGTAATGTAATTACAAATTAGGATATACCATCTACCCTCTACAGGTAGCTGGTAGGTCTTCGGTAAAGGAGATATTGGAGAGCTAAGGGATAGGGTCTGCTGTACATGATCATAGAAGTCTACTAAACTTTGACAACTTGCTGTCCATGTTCTCTAGCAAATATAAATCTAAAGACTGAAATAGATAGGTTACCTCAATTCAACGCTTGGGATCTTGACCTGTTCCTTTCTACCTTATCTGCTATCTCTTTCTGTCCTTTTTCCACTCTTTTTGTCATGCTTGAATACGATCCTGGCTGTGGAGATGGCGTTACATCTCGTAAGAAGCAAAATAAACAACCTTCTGAAACGTTTTGTATCATTCTCTTGCCTATTTTGCAAAGATTTCTGTGTCCATGGCCCACTTTCATGAATTTTAATTTGATCCGATATCCTCACAAGCATTTGGAAATAGATGCTAATGTACGTTTTGATAAAATATTAACAGAAATATTACTTGGAAGTTTTCTCATAAGATATTGGAATTTTAACAAATTAATATTTTCCCAGATAGGTCAGAGATGTTCAGAGATTTTGTGGCTAACATATTAATATTTGATGCATAGTGTCAGAATAAAGCATCGTTTAAATCAGAGACGGTCAATCAGGTGGAAAAAGAAACTTTAGGAAGTTGATAAAAGGAGAGAGAAGTTATCAATATCTGCAAAAGTTACAGTATGGAAATTTTGTATAAAAACTTTCGGTATGGCGATATTGTATAAAAAAACCTTTCGGTATGGCGATAATGTAAAAAAAAAACCTTACACAAAAGTGACTTTGTATACAACCTTACGATATGTTGATTTTGTATACATCCTTACGATATGAAACTTTTGCTTAAAACCTTATGGTATGATTATTTAGAATGAAAATCTTACGGTACCGAGATATTGCTGAAAATTCATACTGTTTGGCGATTTTATATCAAAACATTTACGGTATTTCGATTTTGTATAATAGGCACAGGTGTATTTTGATATTATTTTCTGTTGTTTATATCGTTCGAATAATTAATGAATAATGGTTTACATTGATTACTATGATTACATTTCACTTTGTGATACTAGTCAACATGGTCACCTAAATCAACAGGGCTTTTTTTACAACTCATCGATAAATCTTGCAAATATCCGGAATAAATTGGCAGTAGATAACTTCTTTCCAACACATCAGAATGATGCCTCTATCTTTTTCAGTTCCACGCGTTCCTGATGCGATAGTTTGACATTTTTCTCGGAGAACAATGTATCATCATGAAAAGACATGCTTTTATCTGACAAATTGACAGCAGGTTTCGTCTACATCCGGGTCTGCGAGCATGATTGATTTATTTCAGTACTGAAAATCTCGGTACATATTGCATTAAAGACCAGTTTGCTGTGCAATCCACAAGACTGTTATATTCTTTCATTTTTATCTTTCTGCTCCTGACGTTCTCACGCAAAAATTCATTTTTTTTTTAGCAGAATGTCCCTAGAATTCAATTTGTATCTATACTTCAGACTTAAATTTCTATTCAGTCTTTGAATAACCATCACCTAGGGCTTTCTTATTAAGACTTTTTTATCTCGGAATTGATAAAGTAATGTGAATATTCTTTAACCTAACTGTCTGAAGTGCGATATAATTTTTATACTGTCAGACCCGCACATGTCCTCCTAGCATTTAACGATATGTAGCAATGCTTTGTATGATGACAATAAAATTAACGAGTGGATCATGGCCAGGCAGTACCTTATGGGACGTCTGAATTTTATCTGACAAGGATATTAATTTATAATTTTATCTTCGTGCTGGAATTTGTCAATGTCATATTTGTCTTTAATAGGGGTAATATCCCTGTCATTCATCCAGATTGAAATTCTGTGGATGGCTCTTTCCATTGAGGTCATTTCATTATTGAGAAAACAAAAGCCTTTTTAAAATTATTCAATGTGAGTTTAAATATGATGCTAATATCTTAACCTTTCCCCTCTTTTATTAAACACCTCGCACCTTACAAAACTGCCAGTTTGATTTAAATCTGTTTTATCCAGGAAACAACATCAAAATAAATTTTTTGAAAATGTCTAAATTGTTATCACATAAAAGTGGGAAACGTTCGATCTAGTTAAACAATTGAGATAAATCTCCAACGAAAATAGAGATATAATTGCAAAATCCATTTTAGCTTGTCTTTTTAAATGCATAAATGTTGTACAAGTAAGTAAGCCATCGTAATACTGATAAGAAAACGATTAGGTTTCTGCCATTCGCTTCTCCACATTCCGATTTAATTGCATTGTGATATTTCCCTAGGGACTCTGCAAAGAACAAGGCAAACTAATATGGAATTAAAACCCTTATTTATCATGGAAATTTCACATTTAATCGTGTTAACCCATGAGGAGAAGGAAAAATCAGTCAGATAAATAAAATGAGCACGTGTCTCGATCGAACAGTCAATTTACATATACCGTAATATCTTTGTATAATGTTCCTCGTTTCAACTGACCTGATTTCATTTCAATGTATTATGTTCTTTAAGCAGATATCGGGATATTTGACGGTACTGTTTAGTGGTATAACAAGGTATGACTTTCTACGGACAATTTGTTGTTTTTTGCCTGTATGATGTTTTATTTGGACCTTTAGTCCACCAGTTGCTGGCCCTAACAACTTTTATGTGTTGATAGACCGTTTACAAAATAATGATTATAATTATCTCGACAAAGAATGTTTGATATTATATTTCCTGAAAACAAATATTCATGTATCGGGACTAGCTAGTCAAGCAGAATCAGCCAATGTAACGAACATGATTTATGGTTTTAATTACGTCATGAAATTTGATTTCTATATAAAACATTGTAGAATCCCTTGTTTAACTAAATTAAATTTCCATTGTTAAAGTGCATTCAAATTGAACAAATCATTCGAAACAAACGATATGCATGCAGTTGTATTCGTAAATGCACTTATTGAACAAAACAAGCCATAAAAAGCTCGTCGTTGAACAAAACATCAATATATAGACGCGTCGCTATTGCTAGCAGTCAGGCAGAAGTAAGAACCTGTAAAGAAGTAGAAATTCTTGCAGCAGATTCATTTTTAAATTCCCATCGGAGTTAGGCGAAGCTGTCCTATTTTGCGCTCGCCGTTTTTGAGCAATTTTTAATCAGCGCTTAACCTGTGTATAAGCATAAAAACGGTACAACAAGTTTCCGTTTTATATATCTTAATCCTTTAAGACTAGATCAGCGAAAATAATCTCGCAGAAAAGGGTACAATATTGCACTATATATTCAAGACTATGAAATCACATTTAAATGCTTAGGATTCATATTTATAAGGACCGATGACGTTGTGTCGAGATCAACAAACAATACAAATCTGTTTGCATTTTAACCATATTAAATAAATATGTTGAAAATTTAATATGAAAAAAAAAAAAAAAGATTTAAAAAAATGTTAAGCATTTTGTTTTTCTTGTTTACAGTTAACTAACGGAGATGCCGTCTCCAAACCAGTTCCGGAAACCGGAAGGTACCGCCTACCAGGATATTAGTGGCACATTCAGCATCATTGTTGAGCTTGTAATGGTGGTCGTAAACTTCCTGCCACTTGTTGTTATCATCAAATGGAAGAAATATCGGGAACGAACTACCACAGATGATATTGTTATCGTTCTTAGTGTTTCATACATTGTATCTGTCCTAGTGCCTACTCCACTCGGACACATCAGCTACTTTCAACAGAAATGGTATGGCGGAAAATCTAGTTGTAATTTCTATCAAGTGACAAGCACTTGGTTTCGTCTGACGTCTCTCTTTCTTGTCACTCTACTCTGCCTCGACAAATCCTGTGCCATTTATCTGTACAGAGCTCACAACTTTACAGCGAGGTATCACGGCAAGTTAAAAATTGCTGTAAGTGTGGCAGTGATTTTATTATTCACTCTATTCGTGTCATGCTTACCTGTGATGGGTTTCGGACCAGATTCATCCACCGATACCCGTTGTGAATCATGGATTAGTGCTTCACCGAAAAAAGGGCGGGAACATTTATTTTCGTATTTATTTTTATTCTGTGGATTTGGGAACTTTCTGTGTGTGTTTATAACGAATTTTTACATGTCATGGAGTTTGAGAAAATTAAAGAAAAATTTATATACAGGGGATCGGTACAGATCCACTTCAAGCCAAAGTGCTGTGAGATGGCAGATAGAGGGTATTGTCGTATTGCATGGCGTAAAAATGGTTATGGCAGTGTCAGTGCTTCTATACATCACGTGGTTTCCTACAATGGTAAGTTATCGTATTCTCTACAATGAAGTTTTCTTTCGTAGTGAAAAGAAATATTTGCATGACAATATTTTACTTGATGTGGTCTGTATTGAAATATATTGTAAAATCATTCATTTTCGTTAAGATTTATTTCCGTTTGTTTCTTCAGTAATCTTCATCAATTCAGATGTCCAGGAAATGATGAAAAAATCAATGAGTGGATATGACAGACAGCTTTTATGTTTATCCACGAAATCATGTGCCATTGAATAAGTAATCTTTTGGGGAAAAAACTCTGAGCTCCACGACAACATATGCTTTTATTTCTTTTCAACGTCACATTTTATTCCAGTTGCTTCAATACACTATTGTAAATGTCATTTAAAACTTTCCAGAGTATTATGAGGCATAACATACCATGCAGTGAACGCTTATCCAATATACCCTTAGTTCCGCTATAGTTTTACCACATTGTGTCTACCTAAGGCGCATGCTGAGAATTGTTAACGATTTTACACGTCCATATAGAAAAAACTAATGTTACATCAATTAGGGAAAACAAATAAAAAAAATCATCGACCTGTAAAAAGAATCTTGGTTTAAACACATTTCTTTAATTTATAAAACTAAGGAAAATTTGAATAAAATAAGGCTATACAAGGATACCACGGAAGTGATTTAATACACTTCCGGTGGAGCCTGTGAGATTACGAAAACTTTAAGTTGATATCTGTCGGCATTTTACAGCAAAAGCAGTACAAGTAGACGAAACGTCTGTGATTGTGAACATAGCCTTACGGTTACTGATACAACCGAATAGACGTTAAGTCAACATCAGGCTTTCTTCTGTGAGATAGGATTGATATTGATGTACGGTAAGAACTACACATAACGAGCCATTTGGATTACGAAACGTGACACATTCTTTAAGATCGGAGGCTGTATTGGTGTAATAGGAACCAAAGTGGCTGATACAAGGTATATTGGCTATGCTATTGGCACTAACGGTACTTGACAAATCCTTGTTGAATGTGCTTGATGTATTCCGTCTACGAAAGCCTGCTTCCAACAATTTTCTCGGTGGCGTATGGCTACATCGCTTATTTGTCAACTTCAAAGAATAAATCGCAGACTAGCTTTTGTGTTTGTGGTGTCTAGGGCTTCGACAGGATGAGTGAGGTTGGAACCTTTATTTCACTACCTAATAAATAACCTCACAAACTTTGAACACGTGTTAATAAGTGGGGACATGAACAGCTTATCTCATCTTTTACTTACATAATAACAAAACTGGTAGGTAAGCATTCCGTGAATGATAAATAATTTTTTTTATTACATTCAAGTGAATATTGAATACTTTGGATTTTCATTAAAAAATCAAATGCACTATTCTGTGTCTTTAACTTTATATATGAGACAATTTTCGCAAACGTTTCTTACTAGAAAATAACATATAATGGTAAAATAGAACGTGAATCAATCTTCTCAAAATGACGTTGTCTTGTTTAACGTCAAACTATCTGATGTCAGAGAACGCGCTAGCATTTCACATACTATTTAGAAAACCACCTTATTTTAGGTTTAGATTTTAAAATATTACAAAGAAACTTATGATTTTCCACTTAATATGATACATATTTTACGAGTAAGACAGAATATATATTTTTTGCTTAATATATTCTTAACGGTCAACTAACACGGGAAATGTCATTAGAAGCAATTCAAGATGATTGGAAAACGGGAATGTTAAGGGTCAAATGTCAAAGGAAAACATGCTAAACGGAGTTTGATTATTTTTTCAATTTGATTGTCTCAATTTCTGTTCGGTGTTCAGTAACACTTTCAAATAGAAACATTTCAATGTAAAATTTGATTGATGATACACAATAATCATAATTGGTAAAGTTAATAACTTATGTATCGTGTTTTTTTTTAATTCACCTACCGTTATCTGAATATTCTCAAGGGGAAGCAATCATGTGTTTTCTTCTTCTTCTTTTTTCGTGTCCGACTGTGGGTGTGGGGAGGCGCTTTAGAAAACTTATCTTACGTCCACAAGAGATATAGAACAATGTTTTGGATGACAATAAGACATTATGATACATTGGTTGTGAGTAAAAGTTCACGTGAAATGTCAGGCGTTACAATTCAAGTATTCTACTACAAAAAAGTAATTATCAACAACGTCAAACGCATCCTTAGTCTCATTGATTTTGCTGTCATCGTTTCCGAGTCTATCTGAAAAAATTGAATTGGATGTTTCGAAAATGTAATGGTATTGATTTTTATTATCATTTTATTCATTTCTCCGGTTGAATTGCTGCCAAATCCACACTCAGAAACTTCATAACTTTGACGAAAGCGAGTGCAGAAGATTCTTAAAGAGACGAAAGATAGTGACGCACTTGAGAACCCTTAAAGCTGCCAGTGTCAACACTGACAACATGCGAGATGGTTCAATCATTGCGGATTAAATCCAAAGATCGGTTTTCCAAGATGCCAACGCGTCCAAAGAATTCAGATAATTCCGGAAAATCTTCACATTTTAAAGTCCTGTATTACCTCTATCTAGGATGGCCTAGACGTAATTAAATAACCTAAATGAAGTAAATACTGAAGGAGTAGAAGCTTGATTCAATATTTCCGCTTCAGAGACGATGTATGTCAATAGCGAAAAAGCGATACAAGCAATGTGCTGAGATACTTCAAGACTATATTTCATACTAATTGATACGAATATTTCATGTATCTACGCTGTTCGTACTGGCATACCACGTCCATATAGATGGTTATCCAACAGATTGGTCGATCAACGAAAGTGCAACTGAGTGTGTTTTGTACAATTTCTTGAGAGTTCGAAACACACATCTCGTACGCATTACGATATATGTCTATCAAGAATGATAAACGACTTCGTACTATAACCTTAAGTGTCAATAGGTTAATGATATTCAGTACATTACTTAACTCAAGGTCAGTTAAGTCGATAATTGCCAGCTTCAAAACTTTAAGTCCACACTCTGAGGATGGCGACTTTAATTAGATGGTAGGCTTCTCAAACCGCCCGTCGTCCAACTGTCCTTTAACAGCTATTGTTAAGAAAAACTTTATCATTAATTCTCGACTTCAATTTGTTTATATATATGTATGTTCATTTTGGGACCAATACGAAAACAAACAATGTCATCCGGCGGCCATATTGGATTTTGAGAGTTTCAGTTTGTTGCTGATATTTCCTAATCCTCTTTTTGGTAGATTCGTGCAATGGTAGACTCCAAAATTACTTGATCCCAATACTTTTGCAAAAATGAATAAAATCAATGAAAGAGGAAAATTAACAAAGAAAGGTCTAACACCTCAGGGTATCAATACTGATAGTAAAGCAACACTAGGGAATGATGCCCCCTTCATATGCTACAGTGAAAAGGTCGTTGACGAAATTTAAGCATGGCAGACGGAGCCTTGGGGATGACGCCCGTCGTAGAAGGCCTATCTCTGTTTCAACCCCAGAAATGATCAATAAAGTCCATGATATTGTTATGGATGATAGGTGAGTTACAGAGAGAGACAATCGCCAGTACAGTCGAGATTTCACAGGAATGAGTACATTCCATTCCTACGGAAGATCTTGCATGAGAAAGCCCTTGGCCTGTTGGGTATTAAGAACCCTGACAGTTGATCAGAAGTACACCAGACGGACTTTGTCTTGTGCTAATCTGAACCTTAAGAGACAGTTCCTGCTAGCTTTCTTCAGAGGTTTGTGATTATGGGTGAAACCTAGGCTCATCATATCACCCCAGAGATCAAACAACAGTCTTAACAATAGAAACATCCTGGTTCAACCCCGCGAAAGAAGATAAAGACTGTTCCAACAGCTAGAAAGGTTATGGTTTCGTTTTTCTGCGATACTGATGGTAAGCTGATGAAAGATTATCTGCAAAAGGGAAAACAATCAATGGCACAAAGTATGCAACACTTCTTAAACTCAGGCGCTATAGAAAGGGCCGGTTTCCAAAACGGCCCCTTTTTAGATTCAAATTTCCTGTTGGTGGTGCATTGCCCATGCCGTTGTGGTCACAAATCTATAAAGTATAAAGATTTAGGTCACGTGGTTTGTTTTTTATGTCTCCTCAAAGTTGTACCTTTCAGAAGCTGTCTAAGTATTGATAAAATGTGCATGTTATGTAAAATATTATTGAAAATCTAATCAAATGATAGTCACCGTAAAGAATACATTCATGGCATGATTGTGACAAAAAATCATGTTTCCATCGCGCCATTTGGCTGTTTTATGGACGAAACAATCTCAAAAATGCCATTTTCGATGATAACATTTTAGACACAAAAACTGTGTTTTTTAGAGAATACACCCTTTTATGGGCGTTGGATGCAAACCAATTTTTATCCTATTAAAAAGTACGTAATATGCTATTGATGAGAGGAAAAATCATCAAAATGTAAGTGGTGGAACATTTTCAAATGTTGGGTTGAATTAGCCTATGGTTGAATTGCCGATTTTCGACTTTCTTTAGATAATTAACCAAAAAAAACGAGAGTATTTGCTCGGTATGTTGAGAATATGTACACAGATATGAAAAAAGTGAGAGAAACACTTTTTCATAAAAAAAATCCAAGATGGCTACTTCGCAAGTCCCCGTGGTTGAAGACATTGGCTGACAAATAGACAGAACAGCAAACAAAACGTGTTCCTTATGATTTTGGTTGGTTTTAGCATTTACGGGATTGTTCATAGCTACCGGCGATTGTATAATACCTATATTTATAAGTTTGGTTAGTCACATGGTAACGGGGATCTTTCATATCGAGCCCCAGACATACTTTCGACATATGCACTCTGATGCCGCATGGAAAACTATTTCAAGTTTTGTCGGAATTTCTTTACCTGTGGTTGTAATGGTCGAGGGTTTTCCAGCGTCCTGTAATACCCAAGGTAGTACAAGATACTAGAGATGTGCGCACACATTCCCATCGTTCTCTCTCCAACTGGGCACTGGCAGTAG